CGTCAAGTTGTTAAAACAAAGAACTATATGCATGGTCATTAGGTCAGTTCAAAAAACTACTTTTTTTAAAAATAGTCTGCTGCTCATAACTAAATGTATTCTATATAATGCAAAAATATTAGGTTTAAAATTTTTTTGAACAAAAAATATTTTTAGGGGTGCCTCATGACCCTTAAAAGTTTGATGGGTCCCTAATATTTTGAAAAAAATAGTTTTTCTAAAGTATGTCAACCTGGTACTCAAAAGAAGCAAAATTATATAAAAACTTGAAAAATTATAATCAGTTTAATTTTTTATTCAAAAAAAATTTGAACCTAGTGTTTTTGTATTATATAGAACACATTTAGTTAAGAACAGGAGACTATTTTTAAAAAAGTTGTTTTTTGAACCACCCTAATGGTCATATAAAGCGTTCAATTGCACGCCTCTTAAGAGAAGACCTGTTATTACACAACTTGTACCTAAAGTGGGAGTCAGTGAAGAACATAAATCATCACAAACCTAATGGCAAAGCAGCTTATAAATCAATTGCTGCACAATTGATTAATTCCATTAGAAAGTATCATGCAGCAAAAGAACTTTAGATGATATTCAAAGACAACCTTGATAGTTTCTTTAATTTTGTTAATGGAAAACTCAAAACCTGTAGTAAACTCAATGACATTTGTCGATCTGATAACACTCTTTGTCAAAATAAAGAAGAAATATCTTGTATTTTTAATAACTTTTTAGCTAGTATTTTCACAGTTAATAATGGTTTATAACTAAAGTTTATGAATTGTGTTAACGCACATTCAATTTGTCTGTTGTCTATTAACCTTTCTCCTTGTACAGTCAAAAAAGCACGGAGAGCACTTAAACCCACTGTATCTACTGGTCTAGACGGCATTCCCAATATTTTCTTTAAGAATTGTGCTAATAGTTTATTGATTCCCTTAAGCCATTTATTTGATACCTCATTTAAAGATGGTGCTTTACCGTTAGACCGGAAAGTAGCAAGCGTTATTCCAATTTACAAAAAGGGACCAACAGTTGACCCAGGTAATTATAGCCTTATCTCCTTAATTTCTATGTTTTATTGTGTAATAGAAAGAATCATTAATAACAAACTGATAAATTATTTCTTACTTAATAACCTAATCACAAAAAAGCAACATGGTTTTATTTGTAAACGTAGTACCTGTACTAATAATCTAGAAAGTCTTCATGACTAGACTTTAAATCTTCAGAGCCGCATTCCTACAGATATTATTTATTTTACTAATGAAATTACCCGCTTACGGAACAGTTGGCAATCTTCTGAATTGGCTAACTATTTTTCTCCACATGATATCATGCAAAAACATTGTTTAAATTTAACACCTGTAAATTTAAACAATCTTATTTCCCACGCTATATCTGTAACAAGCGGTGTTCCACAGGGGAGCGTTCTTGGACCTACTCTATTCTTATTATTTATCAATGATGTGAGCCACATTAATAAAGAACTAATGATATTAAATTATATTCAGTCTATGATGTACATGGCCCTCAATCAGATCTTCACACAGCTGTTAATCGTTTGTACGAATGGAGTTGTACTCGGAAACTCTAAATAGCAACTAAAAAATTCTTTGTCTGTACAATTGCTAGCCAAAAAATCACTAGATTCAAAACATAACCTGTCGTGTTTATACTATAAATAACCATGAGCTTGCTCATGTTAATTGTATAAGAGATCTTGCAGTTACCATTGATAGAAATCTACAGAAATATATTAAGCTATGTCAAGAGCCCATCTTATTCTAAAATCTTTTTAATTTAAGAGGTAAATCTGTGATGATCGAAATCTACTGTACTTATGTACGACGAACTATGCTTGAATATTGCTCACCAGTATGGTCACTTTGCACTATATGCTTGATTAATAAAATTGAGAAAATGCAGCGCTTCTTTAATAAAAGAATTGCTGGTCTGTGTTCAGTTTCCTATGATAAGCATATAAAGCCATATATAGCTCAATACGTTAGAATATCGACGAATGTTTAAAGATTTAGTTTTATGCTACAAAGTTCTTAATGGTAAACTGGACACTGACCAATCAAATGTTCTTATTCTCAATTGTTACTTGGGTAATCGTTATCATAACTTTAAACTGTACAAACACCATTGTAATTTAAACAGCACCAAGTGTTTCTTTTCTAATTGAATTGTTAATGTATAGAAAAGTTTATTGGAGAATGTGGTGTCTGCATTGTCTAACTCAATGTTTAAGTACCGTCTCACTGTACTAATTTGTTCAATTTGATACAATTTTGTTTAAACTTGTTCTATCACTTAATTCAATTTAACATTTCAGTAAAAATTTTTTTACAGAAATGTTAAATTAAATAAATTATCTATCTATCTATCTATCTATCTATCTATCTATATATATATATATATATATATATATATATATATATATATATATATATATATATATATATATATATATATATATATATAAATATGTATATATATATATATATATAAATATATATATATATATATATATATATAATATATATATATATATATATATATATATATATATATATATATATATATATATATATATATATATATATATATATATATATATATATATATATATATATATAATATATATATATATATATGTATATATATATATATATATATATAAATATATATTTATATATATATATATGTATATATATATGACCATGGCTTTTTAATGCTTCAAAAATGCGCTTAAAAATCCAACAAAAGAATGAAGATTAGAAACAAGTTTAAGCAATAAAAAAAGGAAAGAAATCCTAATGAAGCAGAAATTAAAAAAAATAATAATTAAAAACAATAGCTCTAAAAAAAAGT